GAGATTGTGCGCTGCTTCTTCCCTCTCAACCCCACTGTTATCATTAAGTAATGGAACGACCAAAACCGCAGCTGTAGAACTTGTAAGATTGTCATCTGGCAAAGAAGTGATATCAGGGGCTTGATGGCAGTAATGAATATTGGTGTTCTGGGAATGCATTTTCTCATCTATTTCAGCCTGTAGGCTCTCAATGTGAGCTTCAAGTGCATGTTTCTCTTCTTTAAGCTCATCCTTCTCTATGCTCATCTGTTCATTATTCACAACAGATATGACTCGATGAGCGAACAGGTATAATGTACCATAAACGAAGAATAACAGTCAAGTAACACTGAAAATATTTGACAAAAAACATATACGGAACATTTGACAACTAGCATCATAATAAATACCACATTTTATCTGTTGCCATATTTTGAATATCAGATTATATTTCAAATCCTGAACTTTAAAATCAGTCCTCATGCTTCCAACATATGAAAAAAACATGTAGAGATTTCGAAGAATTTGTCCCGTTTCAGTTAAATACCAAACCAAAATATAAGACTTTAGACTACTATCATAACCTTTTTGAGATAACCTTTTAGAATGAAAAACCAATGTCAAATATACTATTAAAATCAATCTGATTCGTAGTCCTTGTGAGGCCTGTAAATGAAAAAATACACTATCATACAAGGGTGTTATACCACTTTTAGAAGGGATGGGCCTAAGCACACCCCAGGTTATGTGGTTAGTTAAAAATGTTTTCTTGTGCCTACTTTTTTAATAAAATAATTTATATGAACTGTTAAATTTAGGCTCACAAATGTATATCACGATTGCCCCGACGATAGACTGAAAACCGTAAATTTAGTTCAAACAAATAATTTTCTTCCATAAGGTGATGTTATTGAATGTTGAAGCGATGTCTGTAGTCCTTACATAGTGAGACTCTGAAGTGAGAGCAGTGTTCTCCTTTTTGAGAGAATCCACCTGTGATATTAGTTCCCCCACCAATCGTATGGTTTCTCTTAACATGCAAGCCTTCCCATAATCATGACCAGATGGCTCTACTCAAATGTAAAGTTTTATATAATTACAAATTAGTATGCTGAGTTAAGACTTCCAATTTGCAACTAGAATATGCTGACCAGATTCTATTTTCCTCACCCAAAACTTTGGCTAGATCTGAGAATAGAGTGTTCACATTATCACGTTTCTGTTTCTCCCTCTCGGCCTTGTGGATTCTTTTAGGAGCTTTTTCACATTTCCGTTTCTCCATCTCAGCCTTTTGTTTTTTTCTGGAACTGCAGCATATATAGATCGCCTTTCTATCAGCAGATTATTATCATCAAAAGTAGAACACTATTTATAAATCCGAGCTCTTTTACTTAATAAATTTTGGATTAGAACAGGGATTTCTTTCAGTGAATCAGACCAAGATCATTGTCATATGTATTAACTAAGCAAGCACTACATTTGGACAGTCCACAGTTGGTCTTTCCCGCTTTGTGGATGAGATTGACTTTAGAAGTTAATATACTTCGTAGTAATTAGAGCATAAGAATTTGTAATCTTGCAACATGGAGGTGGACTACGTTGTACAAAAGAATAGTAGGATTACAAGTACTGTTTTAATTTTCATAAAACTGACTTGCTCTTCACTGGTTTGTTTGTTGATTTGGATTGGTCAGAATGAATGACTCCACTTATATTTAAACTACTTTACCTAGTAGGATTAATTAGATAAAAAATGGTTATAATTTCTGAAAAAATCTCTGCACATCTCTTCTCATTTTAGAGGTTTCAATGGATTTGAACTCTTCCATAACAGCTCACGTATCTCTAAAATTTCTCTAGAGGCTCAGCACTACTCTAACGCTTCTAATAAATTCTGCGCATCTGAGAATTCTCCAAATTATTTTCGAAAACGTGATCCTTCTAAGAAAAAGTTTTAGAATTTCCTAACATTTCGAGCTCAAAGGATCAAAATTTGGAGGAATTGAGACGTAGGGTTAGGTATTGTCTGCAATCAATTTCATTAGTTTCGAATTCAAGGAATTGTTATCCTAACCTGGTGACGACATGAGCAGCTCCATCTTTATCGGCCGTTGAAGCTTCACTGTCCATTCTCTGAATATTGGTGTTAGGATTTTCATACGTTCCTTTATCAGTTTATCCACAATATAATTGGGGAAATTTGACAGCCATAGCGGGCGGAGTACCCTATCCATGCGGCGGCTTGTGGCGGGCACACGATTTTTTCAGTCATCAGGTTCCACCCTGGCACCGTATGAGTCAGTCACGTGTCGTGACTATAATACCCTCAGGCAAATCCTTGTGTGCTCCCTGCCTCCCTGCTATGAAATTGGGTTTATGCGGCAAACACCTCCTAAAATATGAGTTCGAACACATTAGTCTCCTTTGATTTAAAAAATGAATCGACTCTCATGTTATAGATATTCATGCGCAAAATTCCTTCTATGAACAAATTTCATTTTCAAATTAATGAAAAGAAATTAGTTTTCTTGTGTAATTCAGAATTATTGACAAATTTATTTGCATTGGAGGCAAGAAAGGTTTTGGATTCGATTTATAGAATAAATTTCATTGATGATTAGATTTCAATTTAATTTTTCCCGAATAATTTTCATGCTCAAGAGTCTCAGGGATAAGGTTTTATCCTTTTCTCTTTATAATATTATATCATTTAACGACTTACTAGACATATGCTACCCGATTTGTAATTTTATCAATTTCTTATGTTTCAATTTAAGTGTTAGATTTAAAATAATTATTTTTATATTTTTTGTTTTCTTTAACTCGGTAATAAACTTGAACGGAGTATTAATATAGGATTGGTGCACAGCTCATCTGGGGATTAGGGTTTGGTGTTGTGAAGTTTTCTTCGTCAACGATTTATAGTTTTCAGATATTGATCTCTCAACTTCAACAGGAAGGCATAGCATGGAAGGTGAGGAAGTGAGGAAGTGAGTATGGTACAAAACAAATCTATTCACAAACAAATCTATTCACAAACATGAAATTGTGGGGACAAAATGAGCTTGAAGCCTTGAACCGAAGTATAAAATGTGAGGTGCATTTGAACTCAAGGTTGGTTTGGTTTGGCTCATATACATACTAGGTATAGAAATAGCGTTTAGATTCATATTTTAACACAGTTATGCAAACTTGTATTGATCAGACAAAGAGGTATACTATTTAGGGGGTGTTTGGATCTTATTTCTGCTCTTTGAGAGAGCAGAAACAGAAGCTAGAGTGTTTGGGTGAAAGTGCAAAAGTGATTCTGGGACTCTAATTTACTCATAGAATCAGTTTTTTTAGAGGCTGGGGGAGATCAGCTTCTGAAAACTGATTCTGATTGTGCTTCTTATTTAAAAAAGAAGTAGAAACAGAATCAGTTCCAAACACCTCCTTATATTTAAATTTTGGAATTCTCTTTGTGCCCATGCCTTGATGACTTCATTATGCATTACATGAGCAATGAATAGTGAACCATTGTAAGTTTATCTTCCAATGACATCATTAGTCGTTAGAGATTTAAAATATGATCTCTCTTAAACTGAATTTAAGGCAATCATTCATTCATTCTATTGTTGTGGTTACTATTCAAGTTGTTGTGGATTATTTGATTCCATCATTGTCATATTATTAGTCTTGTCTTTCAGTATTTTATTGTCTTCAGCATAACATTATTTTTCTACCGAAATATATTTTCCATGTTCAGGAATGCATACAATATGGTCCTACATAGATTTGGAGACAAGCTCTACAATGGGCTGGTGTTTACTATGAGATCACATTTGAGAGAAATTGCCATCTTTGATAGAGGAATTTCAAGGGGGCTTATTCCTAGAAGAACTGAACTGGAAATAGGCAGATCATAACAAGACATTGCAAATTATCTGGAACATCGTAATGTACATGGACAGAACCTCCATCCAAAGTGCACACAAAAAAACAGTTCACGAGCTTGGGTTGAATTTGTGGAGAGAACGTCATCCAGTCTATCAAAATCCAAACAAGGCTTCAGCACACACTTCTTAAGCTTGTGCGATTGGAGAGGAATGGGAATTGATAAACTGAGGCTTGATGAGGAACATAATACAAATGCTTGTGGATTTGGGTTCATTTGTTTACCAAGAAGACTTTGAGAAGCCTTTTCTTGAAGGTGTGCTGATTTCTACTGTTCCGAGTCTCAAGGATTTATCGAATCATGCGATTGCGAGGGTTACCCTAAGAAAGTTGAGAAACGCCTTAACGAAGAGATTGAGAGAGTTTCTCATTATTTGGATGTGAGAAGGGAAGCTACATAACTAAAGTAGTGGAGAAGGAGATGATAGAGCCACATGCACATATTAGTTCACATGGAGAACTCATATTTGGTGACAATGATTTTGATTTTGGGCGACAACTCCGACAAGTATGAGAACTTGATGAGGTCACACAATTTGTTTGGAATACTACAACCAAATGGACTCTCATCAATCAGGGATCAATGAGAAGTTGGTAAGCAGCTTGTAACCAATCCAGAAAAGTTGAAGGATCCCATGGACTTTGTCCAAAATCTTCTGGATGAGAAAGATAAACACGACAGTATCAGAACTTGCAGGATGCTCAAAATTCATCTTTCGAGTATTTTATAAACTTGAATTCTAGAACCCCTAGAGTTTCTATCCATTTTTTGGATGGCAAGCTCAAGATAGGGTTGAATGTGGTGAGCGTGGAGGATGTGGAGATTGTATTGGACAAAGTTACGATGATATTCCGGTAACTTCAGGAAAAGACATGTTTGAAAAGTACTATAGGCAACACCTTGCCAAGAGGGTACTCTCCGGGAAAATGTCTAACAATGCAGAAAGAAGTCTGATAGTTAAGCTCAAAACAGAGAACAAGAAGCAAAGCTTCTTAAATTTATGACTAGCCGCTCCATCCCTACACCGCTACACTTCAAGTCTGTATACTCTAAAGCAGCAAACCCAAGATAAAATCGATGTTGCTTGCAATTCCAAACACCGCACAATATCTAGGCATAAAGCCTAGCTCTACAGCTCTACTCCAAGTTATATTCAATTATGGTGGCACACATCACCAAGAAGCTATTCCTAGTTGAGACTTGAGACAAGAAACACTACAACCTCCCTATCAATGGTTTAAAAAATATTATTATTAGGGGGGCGAAGGTTGATATTTAAATTTTAAGTACATTGTTAAAAAAATATAAGCACTTTAGCTATATATGTACTAACGTACATGCCAAAAAAAGGGAGCTTTCCCTCCCTAGCTCTGCTACTGCCATATTGGGTAAAGGTTGTGATTCTTGAACTCAGTTTGATTTGTTTGAAAAAAACAATCAGCTGTGGTCTGATGTTGAAATGGATACCTGAACATACCCCTCCCCCTCCCAAATGGCACCCCTGACGGCATGTTTGTTCATTATCAGAAGTTAGATAGACAGTCGATGACTGAAATGATAATATTGAACATTGTAAAGTATGCTTTCTTTACTGAAATATAATAAAATTTTAGGGGTAAAATATTAAAATCACCACAACTCAGTGAACACAAATAAATGAGTAGGATCAACACCTAGAGAGCACCCACTCTAACATTCAGAATAACCGCCCTAGCTCTACTAATAATGTTAAGAGTTCTATCGAGTCTGCAATGACAACACTAATAGTCGCACTTTCAACATTGAAATCTCAGAAGCAAATGGTAACACCACAAGTACCAGCAGAAGATGATGGTGATTCATCTCATTCCTCTTCCTCTTCTACGTCTTCCTCATCTTCATCTTTTCCCTGCTTTACAATGCTCGCTGTGTTAACTATGTACACACAAAACTTGACAAGATTTTTGCAAAACTAAAAAAATTGTAAAATCCATTCTCTACTTACATCTTCATCATCCTCATCTCCGTCGCTATCTTCCTCATCAGCTTCCTGTATGAAGGAATTCAGGTGTCATCTTATTATTAGCTCAAATAAAAATAAACTAGGTACGATTGAACGGGTGCAGAAACAGATCAAAACTTTACATTGTTAAAATATTTCAAGGGATTGGGCCAAAGGTCTTCCTTAATGATCTCTGCAACCTGTCACAATCAAGTTGTGAAAAACAGATTAAGTACTTAAATTCTTTAGGAAAATTGAAAGTGAATGGAAACAAATATTGAATATGAAACTACAAAAACATTTCACAAATGGAACTTACCTCATCGCTTAACCCCTCGGCGATATCTTTAGGTTGTGTTTCCGAGAACCAACTAAAAAAGCTTTTGCAGCAAATAAACAAACAGAAAATATTAGGAACATGTTAGGGCTTACATGACACCAGTTATAGAAAAATCAAACATAAATGCTAGGGTACATAGCCCCAGTTATAAGTAATAACGTGCATGAATATGAACTAAAGCTTAGGTTTGTAGAGCCTTTGCTTCAACTGCTTATATATTTCACATCTGGAATAATTTAAGCTCCATATACCCTTAAACTGCTAAACCCTCTGCCTAAATCTAATCATGTCTGCATAGTGTAGAAATTGGTCCCAGTGGTTGGTGCCATAGACACTTGATACAAGAGTTATTTCACAATAATAACCCATTAGGTAGGTTTTAGTTTTTGGCTTGTTATCAGCCTTTAATCCATTGTTTTCACCAAATAGTAACTACCATTATGAAAGAGTTAGCTGATTTAGGTTAGAATGCAAAGAAGTAGGGCAAGAATTACTTTTTTGCTTATATTAGTGGTAACTGGTAATCAGATTTGAATTTTTAAAAATATTATTTTCAACAATTTTAATCCTTTTTAAAAGACTATGAATTGTTCTTTCTTACATTCTAGTCAAAATCGCGATTATATGATCCTTAATACCTAAACAGTTTACTTTAATAATATAGGACTCTATGTTCTGCCTATTTAGTCTAACATAACTAAATTATTTTGTAATCATATTATGTTCTAAACATCTTACTTTGACTATTATTTATGAATTATTTTCAAGATCTAATCAAGACTATATGCGTGTGTGTGGTGGGATCTTATGATCCAAGATACAATCCTATGATTTAAGATCTTAGGTCCCCTTCTGATCCTACGCAGGATCTCGAGTTTGACTATCATCCTTTCTAACTGTTCAGGTGCAGGTGAAAACATCACTTATATGCCAAATAAAGGCAAAACTCTTTGGCATTTATGCACAGTTCAAATATTCAAGAAAATTAAGTTAGTGATACCTCTCTTCAGGTGGCGGACGTTTGTTTCCTTTCTTTTCTTGATCACACCCATTAGGAACTCCCTACAATTTATAAATTTCAATACATGTCAG